TTTTGGCAAAATCCCAGTCCCAGTTGGATTTTTATTAGAAATCCCAGTCTGAGTTATTGAAATCCCAGTCAATAAAGACCCCTTTATTTATTGGTAGCAGTGCCGTAGCAAGCTCGATAATTGGGGGGGGGGGGCTGATATTCATATATTCGTGTTCAGAGACCATAAAAACAGTCGATTTCAAAAGAAATTAATAACGCAGAACACGAATATATGAATATGAGCCCCCCCCAATTATCGAGCTTGCTACAGCACTGGGTAGAATAAACAGTTTTAAGACCTTTTAAGCCACCGTGTGTGCAAGTGGTGGATACTTTATGAAATATTGGGGGGGGGAGGCTTGTGCCAAAGGCACAGAAAATTTTTGAATTTGAATCCCGGAAATGGCATTTGCAGCATTCTGAGACTCGCAAAATCAGAAAACTCAGAATTCCAGGCGCCAGAGCATGCCTGTTCGCAGGTAGTGCTGTGAATAATATAGTTAACAACAAAAATCATGACCAAAGACACCAAAAACGGATCAAAATTGTATTTTAAAATACTTAAAACGTAGAAAAATTGGGAATCGACTCGCATTACCTCAATCCCATTCCCATTTTTGAGAACTTCATTTCCCATTCCCAGTGGCCAAATCCCAGTCCCAGCAACCCAAATCCCATTTCCCAGTCTAAAAATAGATCAATCCCAGTTCCCATTTTACCCCTTCAGGACCCTCATTATGATAAGAAAAATATCTGAATTAATTTATTATTATTGGTATATTACCAATTATCATGTTTCAATGTTGCCTTAATGGATAAAAAAGATTAGCTATCTCATGCACTAACAATTATGCACTAATGTTCCCTAATACATATTTCTGAAGGGAAGGTTCTTGTAATTGGCTGCAATCTGCCTCGTACCGAGGCACTTTAAATAATTACAATACATGAAGTATTCAGGTAGGCAGGCAACACGCGAAGGGGCTGTTGGGAAGGGTGCGTGCTGGGGAGCACGTCTCGCAGTTCAAGTGCACTCTTCCCATCAGCCCATTCGCCATCTCTCCCCACTACAATACTTCATGTAAACTTGTCATATGCGCATTACTGTTTTTTTACAAAGAGACTCCTGGGTACGAGGCTGCAATAGTTAGATTTAAGGCCTGTTTCATACGTCGAATTTAATTCAGACCAATTTAATTCATTATTAAATTTGTCGATTGGTCGACACTAAAATGGTTTCAGACAAATTCTTCAGTTTCATGTCTAGCGATCATGGATTACCCAGCAGTAAAAACTGCGAGACTAGAAAGAGAGAAACAGGCTTTAACATAATTTATGCATTTAATTCAACATGACGATAACACATCGTATGAAACGAAGACGTGCTACAGACATTGTATCCGTCTGACCATGATGGATAAAACGTCTTGGACGAATTTAATTCCTCAGACGAATTTAATTTGTTTCATACGATGCACTACCGTCGCATTAAATTCGTCTGAATTAAATTTGACGATAGTGCGACGTATGAAACAGGCCTAAGTTGGTTCACCTGGGTAGCATCTGAGTGGTGTTGACCACTACAAACCTATGCAAATCCGCTTCTGACAAACTAGATACAATTATGCTCTGACCATTGAACAGCAGGGTCAGCTTTCATGGGAATTTCAGAAATTCTTGCTATCAAAGAGATCCCATTCAGGGGCCAAAAACAAAATCACAGCAACACAAAGCAACCAGCAGACTGCTTTTATGTAACAAATACTTCAACACACATAAACACAGCAAAACATGCCTGGGCAGGCCCACTAAGACATCAAAAAAATGTTTAGTAGACAAAACAAAACTGAAAATTCTAGACTACAATTGTTTGAAGACTATGCAAGCCTGTACAGGAAAATGAAAGTAAAATCCCAGATGGACATTGGAATACGATTCATTTTTGCAAGCATAAAGGTCAAATGCGGTGCAATTTTCACAGTTAATTAAATAAAATCTCTTATTAGCTGGATAAAATATCTTAAGGGGATTTCCCTCGATTAAGGAAAACTTAATACCCGTACATTAAATAAGACGATTTTTGGCAAGAATCATCAGAATCAGATATATCCTAAACATGCATATGTAATATACAGAAAATAACAAATTGCTTTGCTGTAAATGTGTGGTTTACATTCAATGTCCAATATAGCATACTTGCTATGCAGTCGGAATGTTCTTAAAGTTCATGACCAAACATGTTTGTGCGCGAGCACTTAATATGATAATCTCTTTCCTGTTATGCCACGCTACTTTGCACAAATTTTCTCATCACAGATAATAAGTAATCACAGTTTCCGTCATTTTTAGAGTTTAATATTCTGATTTGTCTGAATATTAAAACTATTACTAGATGGATATTTAGCTTAATACTTATTCAGTATAAAAATGCCCAATATACTAGCAATGGCCTGTTGTCACCAGTCTGCACAGAGAGCTTATTCTGTGATGGACTGCAACGTCTTTTTGGCTTTCGTCAAGGAAGAATGTACTGCTTGGCACCATCATAATAAAGAGCTAAATATGTACTTGCGATGTGCCCGCTGTAAAAAATATCACTTAATTAAGCACTCTATTAGCCGATTTGAAAGTCTAGGTGACTTTGAGGGTGACTTTTGTCCGAGTTCTTCAAAGGAATGCGTGATTTACACAAATGAATTTGTTCAAGTAGCAAATACACTAAAGACATTGTAAACAGTTTTTGTGGGTGGAATTGAGTAAAAATGATATAAATGTTTATGTGAAGACCTACAAAGGAGCAGATTATCTGCAGCCGTTGCACCAGATTTACCTGAGCTCTTGTAAAAACATCACCCTTTACATCAAGAAAATCTAAAACTGGCTTTAATTGTGGCAATATCCTTACCTAATAATGCAAAAAGACTAACTGTCAGTTCTCTAGAATATATATAATACACAAAGAAGTTGTCAGATCGAGAGTAAAATTGTCTCATTGGTCTGGCATACGACTCACAATTAGTTAAATAGTCACTACTGAAGTCTAATCTTTGCAATTTTATGGGCTAAAGTTGCACATTCATTGGATTATATGGTAGGCAATGGTTTCATCTACATCACTCATGCAGTACTAGACTAGTTGTAACGAGAGAGGTAGATGGGAACCCAAACGTATGGTACCCAGATTCAAATTTCAATAACATTTGGGTAAACGATCGTTATATCCAAATTAGGGCCAATAAATTTAATAACATTGGGTAAATCATTGTTAGTCTGGGGCCAATTTAGATTCTAGTTATAAAAAACTAACATGGTATACAGCATTTATACTATACAGCATTTATGCTGGTGGTTTATATACAAAATAGTATAGTCCCATGCATTGCTTGGTTTTACAACTGAAGACTGAGCGAAGTATACAGAATTTGGGCTATAGCAAGTTGGTTACGATAGAATTGATACGTTCTACAAATTGGCACGTGCTGTTATAATCTTTAAAATCATTACTGTAAGATCCTATGAAACTAAACGACTTTTTTACACTATGACTATCAGTTGTTCCATGATGTACTATAAAATGTTGGACATTTTAAAGGATAAAACTTGGATATTTAAACGCTTTCTTAGAATTTTCTTGAATAAGCACGAAAAAAATAAGGTGTTTGTTAGTATGTTGATAAATTCAGAGAAATAAAGCATAAATTTACCAAAGCAGGACCGTTTGTAACATCAGATGTCTTCTTCCCACGACATGTTGGCGAATGTGGACCTTCTTGAGGATGCCTTTTGCATCGACGTCTGCGTTTTCTTTTTCGTTTTACTACGCCTTGCCTGACTTGTAAAGGTTGCTCCATTTTATGGAGATTAAAAGCAACAAGAAATACTTAACACTGAAGAGTTTCTACAGGAGACGAAGAGTAAATCGTGCAGCTTTCAGCGAGATAAGTACTCACTCATAAAAGAGATGCTCACATGGGGAGAATTTACCAAATGGTCACCAGTCAATATTAATGAAAATATGATCAGTTCAATGTCAAAATGTTTTTAAAAATAAATAATGTTAATAACACGTATTTCCTTTAGTCTTTATATAATCTCTAAAACGGCAATAAAATATTTAAAATATTTTGAAAAATAGTTACAGACAACGGGAAATTATTCAATGATCACAGCAAAGTATTTTAACATTTCTGATTAATATTTATATTCTCCCTACTCTTCACCTTTGGACGCTAATCTTTGCATGAACATGTCTCAACAGATCAATGAAAACGTGGCCAGGCTTGTATTTCATTGGTCCAAGTGTTTGCGGAACAGCATGAACTGCTTAAAAATGCAGTTAATTTCCCGCTAAAAATCCACCATTATTCCCTCAATGGTTCTTTGTTAACCCATATTATGGGATGTAAATACAAACTACAACCCAAAGTTCTCGTGTTATACAGTGTAATAACTGTAGCCAGTAGGTATAAAATTTGTCATCTTTGTTTTGACATGATATACAAACAACTACAAGTGCAGTGACGCACAGGTAGTAATTATTTCGTGTGCATAGAAACGTGAAAATCATACCAGGCAAGCCCGTTCGCATTCTCACTTTTTCAAGTGTGAGCGGAAATACCAACTGCTGCCTTGTTCCCTGTTGGTAACGGAACGGGGGAAAGGCAACTGTAATTTTTGCTAGTTAGAGGATGATGTACGGCTATACGTTGGGAACCATTGGCATTAATATCTTTTGTCTTCTCGTGTTTACACTAAGATGATCTGTGACACTAGCTGGAGAATGCGCAGAGATCAACGTTCGTAAAATTTGGCTGCTGGTCAGCCTCGTCCCTGGCGCTTTAAAAGCGCCGGGTACGAGGCTGGCTGCTGGTGGTATTGCCTACAAGGCGTACCACAATGACCAGGCTGGGTTGACACAGGTTATATATTTCGTTTCTTTGCCTGCATGTTTCTTACTGGTTATTATTAGCGTTATAGATCTGAACTCGGACACAATACGTGAAGGCATTTGAATATGAATTCGGTGTCTTTCGTTATTTGAAAGAGTTTAGACGGTCACATATACTTGATCAAAGCATACATATCAAGAATTTAAAAACCAACCATAAGTCACAGTACTAACCTAGTAACCGACCTACCACAGCACAGAAAGAGCTGGGAGGCTTGAGATGACGTGTGGTACAAACCATAGTTAATGTAATATATGGTTTGGAGCACAATACAACTCATTATCGGTTGTCCAGCAAAACGTTGGTCAGTCCATCTTATGTTCGGTCCATCTCGGATGTTCCAGCTTAGCATCAGTGACTTCAACAATTGGCTTGTGCAAAATGCAATAAGTACATGACAAGAAAGGAGCAAAATTATGCATAAACCTACACCAACATAGAGGAGTTTTATTCTGCTTTCATCGAGTCTCAAATTAACCCATTGCCATATATTTTATTTACTATGACGGTGAGCATGAATATGGACAAAAACTACCATAAGTCAATAGTTAAAATTTTTAATATTATACTACAGTGCTAAATTTAATACTATATAACTGGTATAAGGAAAATTGGTACATGGTAAGCAAACCTAGCTGATGGTAGTGATGGACTAACTCATATTCCATATTATCTTAAAGGAAAATATAACGTTCAACAGTTCACGTTCACATCATAAGATGTAGACCAATTAACGTTTTACAAAAACTTAAAATATACACTTCGTTTGTTTAAGGTTACAGAGCACTGTCTGAAAATGGCTGCCATGTTGGCGTGTAGCCACTGATCTCAGATTGAGTGATGGATTTGTGAAAATGTCTATTTTCTTTGTTATGTAGCAATGTTTAAGTTCTATGCTAAGATATAGGATAGGATAAAGCTAATACGCTTTCGAACAACCGAGCTGCTTATAATTAAACAAAATTCGTCAAAAATTGAAATACTAACTCTATAGACATATTTGTGAAACCACTTGCTTTGGAGTCTTATAATTATACATAGTTACCCCCTTAACAGAGAATGTATGCATTATGCACAGATTACTTACTTTTAATACTTTGGACACTTATACACATTCTTTCTACTTAAACAAACTGAAATATAGTCATATAGTTACCCTCCCCCCTCCCCCAACACAGATATTCCATAATGCACAGATTAAGCAAAAGGTGAATACACCTCATAGTAATACACCTCAGTCGCTTCACGACACAAGAGCTCTCAGTCGCGAGTCAGAATGCGGCAAAATAGAATTAAGTTTATTTCTTGTCGTCGTCGTCCTTATCTGATTTGCTTTTTCTGTTCATAATTCCTTGGAAAGATTTTTTAAAGCTTCTCTTCTTCTTAACTTTTTGTCGTGATTTGCCTCCAGATCCTTCGCCTTCTTCCTTTTCACCTTCACCTTTGTCACCTTCGAGAATGAAAGAAAATCATATTTGTAGCGAGTTTCAGTTTTTGCCACACTCTCCCTGATGAACTCACACCAATTATTGTCAATCGAAAGGCAATGCAACCATTTCACTCAGGATTCCGCCAATATTTAGTCAAGTGACGCAAACGTCTATCTATACATACTTTATTGAGCACGAGATTATGGTGGAATGCGCCCCCGGCTCCACACATCTGAAATTCTCCAAAATATAGGCGAGGTAAGATAGTCTCAGCAACCGATTTGTGACGTTATATTCAGGGTCGGCGCTAAGGGGAGTGTGTGGGGGTATAACACCCCCAGTCATGAGGTAGTCGGCAAAATATTGAATCGCAGTCGGAAAAACATGGATTTGGGTAGGACGAAAAAAAATATTTGAGTGACACCGATTAAAAATTAAGAATGATAGCTAAAAGGTGGAGAAATTTACAAAAAATTAGGAGGAAATGAAACGAAGAACGATCGTTAAACACAGAATAGGATTGAGAAATATGTTCTCTGGAAAACCTTTTTTATGTTCCGCCGCCGCTATCCCCAAACAAATTTTGGAAAAAAATAATTAATTAGTGGTTGCAGCGACTCGGCAAAATATAGCTTGATAACTCGGCAAAATTCAGTTACACCTCCCCCTCCATAATTCAAAGAAGTATAGCATCGCCCCTGGTTATATTAATTTTACATAAGCCGATTTCTTTATTATAAATTTGATTTTGTGACTTGTCCAGGACTACGGGTTTTCCGGAAGTAAATATTGTCGACAATGAGTAATCACTTACCTTCTTCACTGCCATCTTCCTTTTCTTCGACCTCGACATCAACGGCGGGTGGACTGAGTAAATTACTATCGACAGGCTGCTCTTCACCATTCACAATCACTTTCTTCTCAACTGTCGTCACTGGGGCACCATCACTTTTCACCACAGTACGACTGGTCGTCACAACTCTAGTGCTTGTGGATGACACCGTTTCGCCGGGTTTCGTCTCTTTGGTCTCGCCACCATTTGATCCTTTCTCGACGAACACTTCAGAGTCGTTGGTCAGCTCATCATTGAAAATGCTCTCCAGGGGAATCTCACTCATCACCTGTGCAGCTGGCTTGCTGGAGGTAATGTTCTCCTGGACAATTTTTTCATTATGTGCTGGCCCTTTCGATTCCTTTTGAAATCAGAATAAAAACAAAGGGTTAGCGGTACACTCAGCGTTTCAAAAAGCCAAGGTGAAGAGCCTTGGCTTGCTGGAAGTTATATGTTCTCCTGGACAATGCCTGGCTTTTGTCAGAGCAAGGCTGGGGAAATTCAAGGGTAATTTAAAAATTTACCTCCAAAATTTTCACAACTGTTTCTTTCTCAGGTTTGCTATCTTTTAAAATGGCAGGTTCTGTGTGGCTATCAGTAATAAACTCTTTCCTATACTCTGTGCCCTTCACAGGAGAGTTTAACCACTTGGCACGATTCTTGTAAGTATTGCCTTTGCCTTGAGACCTTGCACGTCTAGCTGGGGTGGTCTTGTTGTCCCCATGAAGGATTTCATAGCGATAGGATGTCATTGTTGCTGGAGATCTTGCTTCAGATTTTGGTTGCTGGACTGTCCTGTTATAAATATCAGGTTGATGGTAGACATAGCCTGTTCTGTGTCCCTAAATCATGACAATACTATTAAATTATGAAAATACAACATTAAGTTGTGAGCGGCAAGCCCCTAGCACTAGTATCATGTTAACTTTTTAAAGGATGGAGGATTCAATTCTCTATCAAGTTGAATTTACAAGCATTTTTCATGTTAATATTTTTATTGTATTTTAATGCAATGTTTTAGAAAAGATTTTAGATATTTAGCTTCACTTGATTAATGTCTTTAATATATAACCAGGTTCTGTGCAGCCATAATTATAATAAAATTTACTACCTGTGCATCAAGCATTCTCATCCAAGCTTCAAACTCTCTCATTCCAAAAGTCAACTTTGCATTTGACGCTTTTGTGTCACCATCTTCACATTCATGAACTTTCTTTAGCATATCATTACTAAGCAAAACAAGGTTATCAACACCAGCAACCATGGCTTTTACCTACAGAAAAAGTTGGTGGCGATAAGCTTAGTCTTTGATTCTAAACCCGTTACATAGCACATCTGGTTTTCAGAAATCAATACAAATTTCATTATTCAAGTAATTTATGCATATAGGAATGCAATTTCAATTTTTAAGATAACTGAAATGGGAACTTATAAGTGTCTGCAAAATTTTCTGCATATTGGATAAGTATTGCACTACATGTGGAGGTTTGTTATTGTCCTTTTCCAGATTGTAAAAAGCATACCTGGATATCACAAGCTTTTACAGTGTAAAATGTGAGAATAAATGCTTCTTCCAGTGTCTCGCCCACACATACTATACCATGATTGCGGAGAAACAAAACCTAGAGCAATAGTTAAAGGTAGGTGGTCAACTGTGAATACTTGAATTCAATTTAAAGGCAAGTTTGATGCCAGGGGAGGTGGGGGGCTTAACAGAGAGATGGTGTCTATTTATTTAGCTGAAATACGGGAAGTAACAAAACAGAAAAAATCCTGGTGAAATTAATAAACCAACCAATAATTAATCTAATAAAAAAATAACTAATCAGTAGGAACACATTTTTGTTGTGACTCTACATGGGACGTAGGGGAATTTAGTAGCAAAGGGGGAGGATCAGGAGAAAGGGGGATAAGGAGCAGGGGGAGGGCTTAATTGATGGGATGACTTAGGGCATAGGAGACTTAATAGTGCAGGGATGGAAATAATGGCCGGTGACCGGTAATTACCGGACAAATTTAGATAAATCACCGGCCAAATAGATATGTCAATAGTAAAGTAAATCGCAAACAGGTTTCGTATAGTTTACTGAGTGGAAAATTGCATAGAAATAAAGAAGTTTGGTCATTACGAGTCTCAGGGAATTAAACGGAAGTATGTACGTACCAAATCGATTAATTTTAACAAGGGTAAAAGAAAAATCCATAATGAACCCTTGCTTAATTTCGATACTAGTGTTTTTCGAAGCGCCATCTTGAATTTTCTTGTGATTACAAATCAGAACTATATGGTGCACTAAAATGTATCTTCCGCTGGATATTGAGCGTGCAGGCGCTTGCGTCCTGAAAAGGGCGGGAATCACTGGCGGGAATTAGCAATTTTTTCGCAACATAATGGCGAACAAACTTCCAAAACCAGGAACTTTTCAAAGGTGGAAAACTGAGTTTAAATGGCTTGAAATTAAAGACAATCGCATGTTCTGTAAAACGTGTTCAAAATGGCGAGAAAGTATTGTTTCAACAAGAAACTATAATGATACATTTGTGAAAGAAGGGAGTGTTAACTGTTAACTGGCAGAAAAGTGCAGTTAAAGAACATAATACCAGTGTACCACATGTCACTGTGATTGATTATGAGCAGTGATCAGTTATGGGGAAAACTATCGCAAGCAAGTTGTCAATAGAATACCAGAGAACAATCCGTTGAAGCATTCCTTTGCGCGAATGTCTGAAGATGAGCGATCGTTCGAAATTTTTACAGGAGGCAGTAGGCATTTTCTAATGTAGCTCCCTCCCCCCATTACCACTGATGATGCCATGATTTTTTGCTTTTAAAAAAACACCGGTCAAATATTTTGCCTTGTCAAATTTGTAAAAATTACCGGTCAAATTCGTTTCCCTTATTTCCATCCCTGTAGTGAGGGTTATTTGAAAAGCTGAACATCATATTTACAATAAATTTAATGATGTATTTCATGCATAATTAACATATTAACAGGATAGTGTACAATAAAGGTTACATTCCCATGTTTCCTTCACAATTTGGTTCCTTGTTGATCTTAAGCCCAATAACAAGTACGTTCTCAACTCTATTGTGCACGAAACACAACTAAATACCTGACACAAAAACGAGGCCATTGAGTCAAACGTCAATAAATGGTAAGGTCTATTGTAGGTTTTGCCTTACCTTGGATTCGGGAGGGAAATCCTTTTGAATTCTCTCTCTCTCGCCAAGATCAACAGAGATTCCCTCAAAGTCATGGTACGAGACAGGACCAAGCTAGAATAAGTTAAAAATTTACCAATTACCTGTTACTCCAAATAAATCTGGTGACCTGAGTGAATTATAGAAGAAAAATCTATTCACAAATTTTCCTGAAAATTTTTAGTGAAACTTTGAGGAAATTTCCTCGGATACAGCTATCAACTCATTCTCCAATTGGCATTATTGGCTGATAAATTTAGATGTCTTGCATCCTGCTAGCTTCTCCTGTGGGACATGTGGGATTGCATGTGATGTTGCTATGCTATTGAATATATCAAATTAATACCCAAACAGAATATTGCATTATAATAAATTATTATTAAAAATCAAACTATTCGTTTAGGTAATAAATAGTATGGTTTCAAGTGCAATTTGGGGGAAAACATGCAGAAGTGAGTTTTTCAAAGACAATCAAAATTGTGTGAATTTGAAGTCTCTGAAAACACACAAGATGTTTTTCCAAATTCCATGAGAAACCATACTACTACCGGTATAACTTATTAATAATATACTTGAAAAAATTATGCAGTCATGTCCATGCGTAGGTCACATGCGAAATAGATAACTTTAATATAAACAATTTTATTAGAAAATTTTGTCACTTGTAATGTTTGGGTTTTTTGTATTAATTTCACTTTTTGCACATATTTCATTTTTGCACCGTATTTCATTTTTTTTGCACTGTATTTCACCTTTTTTGCACCGTATTTAAAAAAAAAAGCAACTCAGATTTCATGCCAAACCTTAATCTTAGAAAGTTAAAGTTAGTAGCAAAAAAAAGCTTGAACCTTTTTATTACAGGTAAACTACATGAAGCGTTCCTCTTTTGAGTTTCTAAATTGATTGCAATTTTCCTCATTACTTTTGCAATTTAAAAAACTCCCTTGCAAATCCCTTGAGGAAATTTGCAAGGTTGCTAAAAGCCAATTAAATTTTCCTCAGTTCCTGTTAGAAGTTCTAAACTTCCTGTTACAAGTTCCTAACTTCCTGTTCTGTTCTGGGCGTTGCAATTGGCTAACAAAAATAATCAACCAATGACAACACTCAGAACAGAACAGGAAGTCAGAAAATTAAAACAGGAAAATAGGGAAATTTAAAATGAAGTTTGTTTGCATTGGAATATTGCAACAGCCGATAAGAACATTGCAAATTCCCTCAAGGGATTTGCAAAGAGTTTTTCAAATTTGCAAAGCTAATGAGGAAAATTCCAAATGAGTTACAAAGTCAAAAGAGGAATGCTTCACATAGTTTACCTGTAACAGGAAAATTGAACCTACAACTTCTGAACATCAGGGCTCAAAACTTGAAATTTTTGTCAGTATCCAAGTGGATACCAGCATCATATAATCTAGTATCCATCCTTGAAATATAGTAACCCAGATCTGCATACTAGATATTCTATTTCCACTATCTAAGCAAGGCAAAATTTTACCTTGAAACCAGGCCTTCAGTTTCAATAATAAAAATATATATTGAAATTCGAAAAAATTGAAAATAACACACTGCAGCGATACAAAAGAAAGCACCGTTTGTGAAATTTTTTTTTTTAAACAATCTGCCAAAATCCGTAGACCTTGAAGTTCGGAAACATGCCAAACGTCTAGATGATTATCTACTATCGCAATTTCTAAGTTTTCCTAGTATCCAGTTGGGATACTGAGCTTATGATACCCAGTATCCAAAATTAAAATCTGATATCCTGTGGATATCAGGATACCGCAAGTTTCAAGCCCTGTGAACATATTACATTTATTATTATTCATTATTGCAAAAAGATAGGAAGTCCTATTGATGTGATTTGATTTATTATTAAATGGATATTTTGTCCCTATCCACTTATCCAGAGATCATCTACAGCCATTGATGATGATGGCCCCAAAATATTCATTTAATAAAACATGGTTAGTCTTATTACTACACAGTCAATGTGAGAAGCTAGTGGCTGCACAAAATCTAAGAAATTCTTTGTAAATAAATTGCAAAGTGCAAGCCGCTAATTCATACTCTGTTCATGCATTGCCTTTCTACCACACCTCATCTGTATTGATACTTACAGTAGCTGATGCCATTGAAAGTGGCAATAAACCTTGTTTCATTGATGCAACCTATTTAATTAAACACAGAAAAATAATCATTAACCCATTAGCACCAATGCTCTCCCTTGATGAATAAAATCATCTGGCGTTTGACAGAGTAAAATAATAAAGTAGGGCACAATGCAACTCAATGGGTTTTATATGTAAATCCCCTGAATACACAACACTACAGGGCTTGTCATAAGCCAACCAGGCTATTGCAGCATATCAATAATTTTGTAACCCCCCTTTCTCACACACAGCTGAGGGATGCTGCACACGCAAGGCAGCCTGACCTTTAATCAACAAAAATATCTCATATTTACAATAAACGGATCCGTACAAACTGCAACTCACTAATTATCACGTGTTGGACTAAACCCAATTCTAGTTAGCACACTACTGCAACTGCATAATAACTAGGCACTACCTGCCAATAGGGTGGGTGGGTGGGACACAGGTCAGGCTAGCACGAGGCAAGCAAAAAAGTGAGTCTGATGACCTTGACCCCACCCTTGACCCAATCCCCCAGCAGTGTGTGAGAAAAACATTTTCTGCCTCTTTCGTTCCTCAGCCAGCAGAAAATAACACTTCATTAGTTTTGAAGCGTCAACATATTGACATCTGTTTAGCAAAACAAATTCTCAGTTTCTCATCTGAAATTTTTTAAAAAGCAAATGCGGCACATGCAGTTTGTGAATGAGAAATATTTTTGATAAAGGCAACAGTGAGCAAAAACGAACATAAATATAAACTAGTTTATTAACAGTACTTTGGATCTTTCTCTAGTCAATTTTGGGCTCAAAGAAAGTATGTGTGTTTAACAATTTCATAATGTGGGCACTGATGAGAAACAGGGAATACTTTTTTGTCCGATTTTGAAGGTTCTAACAGTCTTTAATATTTATAAAGATTTTCTTTATCAAAAAGCACAAATCCAACACTGAACACAGGCAGGACTGCTTTATTTAAGCATACATGCCAAAGGGCTTTAAAATATATTCCAAAAAACAGAATAACAGATGATGTTGGAGTTAATTTTTAATGAGCTTGATGGAGCAAAACTACATCATATTTAAAAATTTATATAAAACCTAATGCCAACCAACAACTGGCAAAATATGCTTAGTTTTATATGTATACATCTGACAGTTAAAATATAACAGACTTCGTTTTCAAAGTTGTTAGATACTGTAAATATCTAAATAAACAATTCAAATGTCATAAAACTTATATTTTCTCAGCATGATTTAAGGAGGATTATCTATTATTAGTTATTCTAGAAGGAGTCTACTACAGCGCCAACGACACTAAAACAAATTCGAATCGGAATCTACATATGATTGACATGGAATTTCCCAAGCGAAATCAACACTAAATTCCAAATTTTGAAATCGACATCGATTCCAATTTCAATATATTGAAATCGACATAAATTTTTACACATGGTCTGGAAATGTTACAATGTAAACAAAGAACAGCAGAGGCTTCCACACTTTCATCGCGTTGTAGCACTATTTCAGCATAAAAGAACAATTTATGATAACCAAAAGATCATAGCTACAGTATTTTTTTCGCAGTGGGGTATAATTATTTCCGTACAGACAATTTGAGACAAAATACAATAGCAACCAAGCTTGTGATTTGTGACCACGCGTAGGAAGCCATAAGAAATTGCGCCCAAAATTATTACTCGGAATGCAAGATCTGTAAAATCCGAATAGCACAGAACACTTAGCAATGTACATAAACAATTCTAGAATGTTATTTTCAATTCACGATGTATAATGTTACATTATCGTAGCGACTGGAACATTTTTTCAAGACTGAAATGTAACATATGGTCTGGATTTAGATCGAAATTTCGGAGTAGTTTAGTTTCGCAAATAGCTTGCACATATGTTCAGGTTTGCACTAAATGTTGGATAGTTTAAAGCTATGCAAAATTAATGAGAGATCGCTTAATACTTACGGCCACAGTAGCAGGATCGTGTATGTGAATAACACATTTCGCATCTTTTCTACTCTGATGTATTGCGGAGTGTATGACAAAGCCAGATTTGTTGATACCACAGTTTGTACTGCCGGGATCCAGAGTGTTTCCTTCGCTGTCGATTTTCACCAAACCAGAAGCAGTAATCTCGTGATAGAGCAACCCATGTGGATTGATCAAGAAACTTTCGCCTTGGCCGCGCTCTCCGGGACACCGGACCTAGAAAATCGACACATTTCCTTCGAGGTTTTTTTTTCACTTTTACTTGGGCATTACATTCAATAACTTTGAAATATCGTAACACAAATGCCAGGACAACATATTTGGGCATTTTGGTGTTTATAGCACTTTAGCAGTCGAAACAACGGTCTAAAACCGAATCAATATATAAGCAGACATGTTGTTGACCTAAGTTTCATCTCCGCATATAAACAAACTTCACGCGTTTGGAAAGCAGGTCACAGATCAGACGACCAACTCATACTTACCGTGCAGTGATTGTAAATGCTTTCTGTCCAGCCAAAATGATCTATAAGACGATATGTTGAAGCTAGCTTGCAGCGGAGAACTCGTTCGCTTTTTGTATAATTGAGCGTGTCTGTTCCTCGTATATCGTTGATGGGATGCACAGCCGAGATGCCAGGGCTAGCGCCGTAATAATTGCTTGTAGGAACGAGAAAATCTTGGTAGGTTCTCACAGAAGCGAGTTCTTCGCTTTCGTCGCCATGTTTCCTTACAGTATCTTCCAATTCGTGTCGAAGATAGTCGTCCTTCAAGACCAAAGAAACTCGCTGTCGAAGCTTCAAGCCACGAACGTCGCGTTGTATATCTTCGGGACGACGAACACTTCGCCTACCCATGGCCGGTTCCGAGTATCTTCTTGATTTCATTTCGGTCAAACTTTGCCCACCGGTCCTTGTAGGTTCAGGCATTTTTCTAATGCTTCAAAACAGCTCGAAAACAGCGAGTAAAAGTATTTGCAGCAACTATGGAAGCCGACCGTCTCCAACGCCCCAACAAACAGTCAGTGTAATTAAAATGCGTTGCCTTCGATGCGCATGAGCGGTTTTATTGCGGTTTTCAATTCCTGCAATCTGATTGGTTAGTTTCGATGACCATACGTCTTTCCTTGATTTCTATCTTATGTTTTTTGCAAATACGGAAAAGTAATGTGTATAATTATTGGCGACTTCCTCGGAGACCAAATCAAATTTTATTGACCAAAATCTTTTTCAGAAGTTACTTAGGTCTGTGCAATGTCATACAGATGCAAATTTGGAATACCAACTTCAACTCTCGAGATTCGTGATCGGAGTCTTTCAGCTGTCACTCCGTGGCAGCGGTTGTTTTTTTGTGGGAAGAAGTAGGTCGCTTGAGCCAAACACTTCGCACAACAGTACTGCCATCCATTGTCTTTTCATTGTTTAGGACATCCCACCGACCACCGTTTTATTGTGATCTCCATTTCATTCAATTGGCACGTAATTATGCCTGACACTGCTACGAAGACCGAAGTAGACAAAAGCAAACACGCATTCATTTATCAACAGCAACTCACATGTGTTGGTAGTAAAAAATCCGCATAAAAGAACCACTATTTTTATGTCAGGCTGAAGTGGTTCTTATATAATACGGGTAGTCGGGTACTGGGTGAAGCTGAATTGGTTCTTACTCTAACTGGTTCTCATTTGGAAAACTGTTCCAATTAGTGAGCTGTTGACAGTATTACACTAATAATAGCTATTTAATTAATTAAATTCAGATTAAAAAACTAGATGTGGGGCTCGTACCAAACAACAGATTACGTTTTCGCATTTGCAACCATGTATTATATTAAATCAAGCAAATACCTCCCAATAAAACATGCATTATTATTTTTTGTATATGGTGTGCTACACACCGAGCAAGCTGAAGTTTGCTTCACCGCGGTGGGAATCGAACCCGCAACAAAGCTTTGGTTTGCTACGGTTTTCAGCTTCGATACACTCAAGAGACAACATCATGCATTATTGGGTTTTTAAGAGCCAGTCTCATTTGTCAGCCTACTGAAGTTGTTCTTGTACTTTGGGTGCTTAATTGCCTTCAGGGCTGGTGGTTGCAATTCCACACACCAGTCTTTTGCGGTTTTCACATTTGTGCAAGTTGTGTGTAAAAACATACGCGTCCTTTGTCATTATGCCCAGTTCTTTATATGACGACCACCTTTACGGAAAATAGACGATTTGTCGGAAATGTGGGAGCTTGTCGGAAATCCAGTTGCCCGACATCTAGCGAGCAGGCTACCCGACATCGGAAAAAGTGAATTTCCGCCATTGGAGACATTTGCATGAAAGTCCACTTTCTTCAAAATTGAATGCATAAAACAGAATTTGGTTTTAATCTTGCATTGATAACTGACTTGTGAATGCATTCTCAATATTTTGTTCAGAGCTTTCCCATGGCATTGGCGTCTTGTAGACCCATTGCACATGACTTCACAGCGCCACTGACGATGCATCTGGAGGACAAATTAGCAAACTATGCATAATATAACTTTTGTAAACAAAGCAAATTTTGCAAAACTTTATAATAATTTTGTATTAAAATGGTTAATTTTTGCGCTGTATGTGGTTGTTGTACCCAAACAGATATTGTTAGGGAGCATCTGGAGGACACTCTAAGGATTTGTGACGTCAGTGCAATGGGTCTATTGTTCCAACCTGCAAGCGCCTGCCTTACAGGCTTTCCAACCCGCAATGCATGTCATGTTCTTATTTTTTGCGAAGCAAATTTGAGGAACTGCACAAGAGTCGGGCGGGCATTGGAGAAACATCTATTTCGATGATCAAGTGACTAGAATACTTTTTATACGTGTTGAAAGTCTTCCCTATCCTTGCAAGTGTTTTCACTTGAATCTCAAGATTATACGGAAGGGAGTGATTGAAAATTGTTTTCGTTATATTGTGTATGACTGTTAATTATATACGTTGTGGCTAGGATACAAATGCCCCTATCGACAACACAAACATTACGAAATTCTTAAATCACTACATATTAAACCCTAAAACGCGCAGTTTTCAAAACAACTGAAAGGACATGAAACCTGCTGCAGCTCGAATTTACATATCTCAAAATTAACAAGTGTTTTTTTTCATGTCCCAGATGTTCATAAAAAATTGATTAAATTTTGATATTGCTAGCACTGAATCGCAGTATATATTGTTCTATATATAGCTCTCCATTTTCATCTTGTGCCAAAATAAAGATGCACGTCTACATATTTAATGCAAATATGAAAAAACAAAAACATTTTAAATAAACTATAATTGTTTTAGACCATTTTTGTTTTACTTCTTTTCGGAATCTTCATCCATTTGTTCATCCTTCTTGGAATCTGAGAAAAAGAGAAACACACAAAAAATCTAACCAACATATGGCATATTGTACTACTGGTGTTTAGAGATAAAATATCACACAAAGAATTTAAGTCTGCATGCATAAGGACTTAATAAGATCAGGAAAATAACAAACCCAGAAAAAGCAGAAATTCACCTAAGTTTTATTATAGGTGTAAAATATAAAACCGTTACCCGATTTGCTAGAGTTTTGTTGCGTCGCCTGTCCAATAGCAGCTTTCACAGCCTCGCTATCCGGGTCAACATTCGGTAGTGTACTTAACACGGAATGTAGAAAGTCGGGGTCCGCCATTTCTTCACTGAAATCCGGAATATCTGCTTCCTAGGAGGAAATTTAAAAGAGCAATTTTTTTTTAAGACATGTGGAACATTTAGATACTCGGTTAACTCAATCCACCGTATAAAGCAGGAAAAAATAACATTTCAAAAGAATGTTTGACAATAAGATTAGAATATTAAATATTCAGTTAAAGTGTAAGTTTTCATAGGAATGGTTGACAACCAATTAACAAAATGAAAGAATGAGAACTCACCATGCTTGCACGTGTCATGTCGGTATCCATGGGTGTGGTTTCTCTTGAGGAGTCAGGGTTTGGTGTTTCAGCTTCACTCGCTGTATCGTCTCCTTGAAGAGACATTTTAATTGCGTACGCAATCTGGTCTGCTTCGGACATCATGCTAGAAAATAGAGGTAGTAGAGAATGTTATTTAGTTTACGTGGTAAAATTACGTGGAAAAGTACAAAAGGAATGTGGTTGCAAATACGAAATTCATGTGGAAAGCAATGGGTATACAAAGCAATGAGCATAGTATGCCTTGGCGCTTGGCAATATGTTGATTTTTACTTGGCACTTGGCAATGATGTTGATTTTTGAATAGGTTGATTTTTGTAAATATTTTTATATTGATGTAATGAACACGCCCCTCGTGGAAATCAGCGAAAGTTGACGAGGCTAGCGTGTTGTTTTAAACAAAGTTTACCTACCTACCTACCCTTCCAATAATTACGTCACACACACTTTTTGGTCTTGGAGCCTCGCTCTCATTAGTAAATTACGCAAGGTGATTGGCTCACAATTCATGAGAGCGAGGCTCCCAATCGAAATAACGTAATTATCGAAAGGGTGCATTACTGAAGCAAATACTATTCAGAATGTTCTTACCTGCCTTGGCAATAAAATCCCCAATTTCCAAGGCAAAAATAGGCAAATTACGAGGGCTGGGTGTATACATACAGTATTATATATTTTATGTCTCAATTGGTCATAGCTTTGGTAAGATGGCTACTAGAGTATATTTTATTGTGCATTTCCTAAAGTTGTTGGTGTAAATTTACCTGACATCATCAGGAAATGGTGTTGAACCAACAGACGTCTCAGAAACAGCTCCAGACATTCTTAAAGCTTGTTGTAATAAAGCTTCTTCACTGTCAGGTATTTCTTCCGATGGAACTGTGCCTTGTGGATCCGTGTTCTTGTTTTCTTCCTCTTGACGTTGACGTTGTTCTTCCAGAGACACTCGGATTGCCTAAAAATGTATTTCATACAATAAAGCCTCGTTTCCATTCTGTGACCAGATCAAAGTTATAGAGCTTCAGTACATCTCTAGAATCAGTTTAGAGTGATTACAGCAGAGATGAACATCTTCTGATTATTGTCCTGTTGTTAGTCACCAGTACCGTGATTGGCTTAATACATTCATTTTCAATTATTTCTCCTCAAGCAACAGAAAGTTGTCTAAAGTTTTAAAAATCAACTGAAATGCATTTATCCTTGTTTTGTTAATCAGCAGAAAGTTTTAAAAAATCAAGTATTGTTTAAAATCAAAATGTTTTCAACCTCATTTGAATTCTTACCAGTGCTAATTCTGGATCATTTGAAGGATCAAAGAGTCCGTCACTTGAGGCGGGTGCACCTCCTTCCTCGCCAGCAATGATGGCAGATGATATGAGAGCATCAGCCAGAATAGGACCACGTGGTACTGTCACCAGATGACTGGAAGTACCATCTTTACCATTCACTGTGTTGATGAAAGTTGTTAAACTTGCTGTGTTTGTTTCCTGCAAGTAAGAATGATAAAGTATTTACTATATACTGTATACCTCTGGACATCAGGGTTTCCAGTTGGAGGCTTTTTCAAACAAGTAGATGGCTCTATAGAGCCCAAAGTACTGCCTCTAGGGAATCTGAGAGAGGTGAGGATATCACCCTAACCCTGGACTGTAAGAGTCCGCTGCAGAGAAAGCTAGGGAAATCATAAATTGCTCTAAATTTTATAACAAGCTTTCGTTGGTAGGGATGCGACTACCTGCAAAATATAAGGAGAATTTCAATGTTTTGAGGGAAGGCTCTTCGTCTGGAGTTACTGTATTATATTATTGGCCCTACCTACACTGGCACAGACAATTCTAAATTTTATACCTCTTCTCCAAAGTTGATTATATCAACATTCACCTTTTCTTTTTTCAATCTTTTAGCTAATTTAACAAGCTGCAAATGATATTCCAATAATAGACATAAATCACATGCATTTACAAATACAGTAAAATAACTTAATGAATAGTTCATTTTTTCATAAATTTCTACTGCACCTCTTTCTCATCATTTTCCAAAGGACTTCCAACAAATGCTACAATTCTCATTCTGTGATTCTTGCTCTGCCTATGCTTCAGGGCAAGCTAAAAATGTGAGAAAATGTTGCTGTATGAATAAAGAATGAAAAAATATATGGGGATAACCAAAAGCTAATTGCTATGTTAATTGCTTTTTCTTTGAAAAACACTTGATGTTGTGTAGTCCAGGGTTCTGCCAAGGATCTTATTACAATATGAAACATTGCCAGGGCTGATAAATTGGGTATTACAGCTGGTGATGTGTGACCTTGTTCTGCCCAAGCAGGGGGGGGGGGACAAGAGAGAAAACAATTTTCGGACATACTATTTTTTACTAACTTAATCGAAATTTGTACAATTTTTCAGTACCATAATATTTTCATAATTTTCAGTAATTTTTTGCCCAACGAGCGTGTCGTTAAAATTGCTATGATTGCTGACAAAACTGCAATATTACAACATTGGGGGTATTGCAGCTTCCAGGAGTTATGCCCCTGAACATTGCAGTTATCAAATATCATATTATTTCAAGCCTTTCAAATGGCAGGCCAAACTGCTGCGTACTACCACTCAGCTATACACAGAAAATCAACTACTTCAAGACTATATCACTTACATGGGCAATTCTAATGCCTGTGACAATATTCATAGCACCCTTTGGTATAACACTGTTTATTTTAGTTAAAACTTTGCCAACATCTGTTGTCAATGTCACCAACACTTCAAGGCTAACAAAACAAATGAAAATATCTGGTCAATTGACCAAGACCTGAGGCTTGCAATGTTAGTACAGAGGGGCACAAACTAAATAGTGCTACAATATAAAACAACATTATAACTTTCAGACTTGGTAAAAATTGCCCCTTCAAACGCTAGGAATCATCACTCAGAATCTCAGGGGGTTCTTAGCCAGTGTGCTTACAGGGGTGTTTATAATGCCTCTTGTAAGATAATTGGATAGGATTATCTTGCAACTGACCCCTATAGAAAGGTCTTCAACTCCCTTTGGAATTGCATTTTCAAGCTTTAAACTTTCTGGAAACAGCATTTTTCTCCATTACCATATGGAAAAATTGACCAATTAGTTCCCTTGGAAATCAAGGTCCTTGACAGGGGGGTGGGGGTCTACAAATGATAAATAGCCCATTTCATACCAATAAGTCATACTTGGCAGGGCCGCAGGGGGAGGACCAGTGTGGAAAGTTTGTACTGCGCGCCTGAGATATTGGGCGTGCAATTTTGATGCTTTCTATATATTTACTATTAAATTTTCGAAACCTCAGCCGCGCAAATTTCCAAGCTTTCCAGTCAGGGGGGAGATATTCAAATATACATTATTTAATATACAAATATTCATATATTATTAGTAAAAAAATAATGTAATATCTGAACTCTAAAGACAGTGTGCCCTTCTTACTTTCATATTTACCTGGCAAGAGTCATCAATCCTACACTATTCTCAGGATTTTGTCGGGCTTTTGAGTGACAAACTAAGTTCACAGCATCTTGTTGTGCTTGAATTCGCGTCGGCAAAAAATCGCCATTTCTCATGTATTCGCTGTTGTCCACGCTGGAAAATTGATTGTGAAATAATTGAAATACTGGGGAAGTACATAAAATGGTTAATTTCTAAAAGAAATAGTTTAAAACTCACCAAATTACAGTAGATTCTAACACCATGTCGTCTCTTTTTATTCAATTTATTTTATTTTTTCTCGTGCCCATTCCCCGTCAAGCTACGGCTATGACGTCATAGTACCACTGATCTTTATAATACAAGTGGATAGAATTATTGAGATGAATCTTATTTTATTTTATTTATTTTTTTAATGACAATACTCTACTCAATACTCTTTTATAAACTTCCACATAATAGTGAGCTCACTCTATCATATTTATTAAGTACGGTATAATTATGATTTTTATTACAAACTTTTTGTATTCTTGTGGACAACTTAGATTCAAAAAAAGCTCCTACTTCTACCAACGTTTACGCAACTTTCTCGCAATAATTTTGGCCATTAGACATAATTTCAGACACGCCATTACTCGTACGCAGAAATAGTGGCGGAAATCTTCCGGAAAATTGACGAATTTTCGGAAATTTTGATCTAAAAGAGGGCTAAAAACAGTCTTTTCGAGTGCAAATGGGGGGAGGGGTATGTCGGAAATTTGAAAGTTTTGTCGGAAATTTAGGAGGCTTTGCCCCCCCCCCCACCGGAAAGTGAATTTCCGCCACTGCGCAGAAAAAAATATTAATTTTGCTCACTCACCAAACTCGACGCAGTCCTCCATCTCGCGCGGCGAGAAAAAATCAATTTGGTTTGGACAAGGAAGTGAGCAAATGATATCTTTTGTCTGTTTACAAAAATATTGAGTTTACCCGAAACATATAATAATGACGATCGGAAATTAATAACAGAGAGAAAGTAGTCGTTTAATTGCCGTTCTTACTGTTGCTTGTTCTGGGCAATGTTTTAAATTCCAAAGGTAGGTTTTTGTGAATACGCTTTGCTGTTTTATTAATACCGATTTCAGTACCGACATACCGCATATTGATATTTATATTGGTACAAGAGTATGTTTTATAAACCATTTTAAACGAATGAAAAATAGTATGAAAATGAAATGGACGAAATTAAGTATTAACATAGTATCAAACTTTATATGAATGTCGCAATTATTACCGAAAATTATTCCATTTAGGTTTTTAAATCAATTGTGCATATTTTGTATTTAGTTACTTTGTGTTTTGTGTTGTTTTGCCAACAACAAATTGAGAATGATTCTGAAGTGAAAGTACGAAGATGTTATCGATAAATATGGCTAAATTATAAAGTATTTAATAGTAAGAAATATGACATACAAAATTAATTTAATACATATTTTATTTTCTTACTAAATAATTTGTTCAAATTGTTGCCTCGCTGTTATGGCAATTAGCAGCTGGAAGCAAATATTGGATTTAGGTTGGGTCCGTATTATTTGATACATATAAGACGACAGTTCATCAGTTTTACACAAGTTTAGATGTGGTTTCCTAAACTAGACACTGTTCCTGGGGCCAGTTGTTCAAGTATCAATGCCAGATAGTGCTATCCTTCTAAAATATTTGACTGTTGAATAGTGTAATCATGATTAAGTTTTATTCGAGATTATAAATTAAGCAATCGAACACCAGCGCTCTTTCCTTGATGAGTAAAATTGTCTGGCATTAGACAGAGTAAAATCATAAATTAGAGTACATTAGGTTGCAATACTTGATGTGTTAACTAAACACATGGACAGACAGTTTGATCAACCATTGAGCACGGCCAACACTTTTCCCCTTGACGAATAAAATTGTCTGGCATTAGACAGAGTAAAATAATAAAGTGGGATGCAAAGCAACTTAATGGGTTATTAGAATTTTTGTATATTTAATGTGAGGTCCATATGGGTCACAGCTTTTTAGACATTTTTACATTTTTAGACATTGGCAAGCAAGAAAACTCAACCACATTTCCCAATTATATTTATTCTGAGCACTAAACAACCAATGGGGAAAACCACTTTTGTATGAGTGTTGCCACATGAACCAAGCCAACCAAGTGCAGCACATCAGAGCCACCAAGAGGGGGGGGGGGGGAGGAGGCCATTTAGCTTCGGGCCCCCAGATCAAAAGGGGCCCATAAAGCAACAAATCCCTTACAGTGTTCCATTGCTGGTGTTCCATTGCCGGCAACATTGCAATATTGTCACACAATATGGCAATGTTGATCGGCTGATTGCTCTAGCAAATTGCAACAGACGCAAACAAATTGCAAATTTTACATGTTGACAATTTGTCAAGAGGTTTGCACCCAAATGTCAGATGCCAAGCATTTGATTGGCTTGTTTTGTACTAGTAGCCAATCTACCCTGCGTGCAAAGTCCTCTCGTATTTCTTCTCGGCATGGCACGGAGAAGCGAGAGAGACTCTGCAGAACTTGTGTATAAATTAATTTGAGCATGCACTAAGGTTGCTAAGCAGTTGCTTAGCAACTTAGCAACAACAGTTGCTTAGCCTATTTCCCAGAAGAAGATTTAATAAGTAGTTTCCAGTTTGGATCAAAACCGGTTATAAAACCGGTATCAACCTGAAATTATGCATAATTATCCAAATTTTTGGATTGTCTGCTCCACAAAGAACATACACAAGTTCTGCAGAGTCTCTCTTGCTTCTCCATGCCATGCCGAGAAGAAATACGAGAGGACTTTGCTCGCAGGGTATAGCCAATCAGGCTTTATTTACAAATTGCTTCCGAATCATATTATAATAATTTAAACTTTTGAATTTAATTAATAATTTAATATTATGAACTTTTGAATTTTGCAGTTGACAGTTTAATACTGTTGCTCTGCATAAAAATTGCAATTTGTTCTCGTCAGCTGATCAATATTGCAATATTGTGTGACAATATTGCCCGCAACAGAACACTGGATTTCACTGTAATACAAGAGTGCTTAACCGAGAATATAAATCCTAGATGCATCAGTGCCAGATAATATGCAATAAAGTGCAATATATTGTAAAACACTGTTTCTTCTGTTTTACAATTATGACATAGTACTGGGGCCGCAGGGAAAGTTTTACCCGGGTCTAGTATCATATGGCATAACTGGGATGCAAATCAACTCACAGCATTCTCTCAAATGTTGAACGAATTATGGGTCTATAATTCAACATTTTAAAAAAGCGTATATTGGTCATTAATTAACATACTCCAGTGCTTGCGAAAATGTTTTTAATTTTGATCCCATGGCCAAGTAGACATACATTGCAATGTTGACCATGTTTCGGTGTCTTCGGTATACATCACAATGTTCACTGTTTTTCCTGGTTCACACATATTACTGTAAGTGCTATTTTCCCTTCTCTAAAATCAATTCATACAATGAAATTTCTTTATATAGAAGCACGTTCCCCAGTAATGGATGACCCAGTGCGACAAACATATTTTTATGGCAGAATATCTCGAGAAGAAGCCGAGAGACATTTGACGGACAACGGAGTTGAAAATGGCAAGTTCTTGTTACGCAAACGTCCAACGGAGTCACAGAGCTTTGCCCTTTCCTTGTGCCATAGACGCGGCTTTATCCACTATCATATTCAGCATCACCCAGATGGAAAATACGGAATTGAAGATGGTCCACGTTTTGCGAGCCCTGTTGAGCTCATTGATTACCATCGTGCTAACCAAGGAGGCCTTCTCACCACTTTAACCAAACCTTGTAACCGCCCGATCGGACTTGAACCCAAGGTGTACACAAATGTTAACTACAGCGAGGTGGAAGCTGCCACGACTGCCGCCATGAGTCAACTTGGTATCGGTGATCGCACATCTCTTGGTAAAAATCACGTGCCTTTTGAGAAAATGTTAGGCATGTTACTCCACGCCAAGCAATCATGGTTTCACGGCGTTATCTCCCGAGATGAAGCAGAATCGCGTCTTAGGAAATCTGGCTGCAAAAACGGACAGTTTTTGGTCCGGGAACGTGAGAAAACCAAAGGGACGTTTGCAATTGGTCTGTGTCACGATGGTAGCGTGTACCATTATCTTCTCAATGCCGACAACGCAGGAAAACTCTCGATTCCATCTGGTCCAAAGTTTTTAAATCTGATGGAGTGTGTCGAGTATTATCTCAATCGATCCGACGGCCTCGTTTGCAAGCTTGGAAAACCATGTCAAATAACCCAGAAACGGTGCTTGCCTATACCTCCAGGTGTTGCTGGGACGAGCGCACCGCGAACTGACGCCATTTATGATACCGTTGCCATAAAAAAGTCTCCTGTTTACCTCAATGCATTTAAGGATATCAAAGCTCTTGATTTCAGCAGGTTGTCTTTACAGAACAAACTTGGCCAGGGAAATTTCGGTTCTGTCTTGAAAGGAGTGTACGCTCTTACAAATGGGAAGAAAATTGAAGTCGCTGTGAAACAGCTCAAGACTGACGCCGCGGCCCAGAAGTCGGAAATCGAACACGAAGCGCGAATTATGTTAAAATTGGATCATCCGTATATAGTTCGAATGATTGGTATGATCCATGAAGCAACCATGATGTTGGTAATGGAATTAGCAATCAATGGTCCGCTCCATAAGTATCTCCGTAAACACAAGGAGGTAACGGTCCGTCAGATCCTCGTCATGCTGCTGCAAGTTTCCGAAGGTATGGAGTACCTTGATAGCAAGCATTTCGTACATCGAGATCTAGCGGCTCGGAATGTGCTTGTCGTCGATGTAAATTTTGTCAAGATCAGTGATTTCGGGATGTCTCGTGCGATGGGTGTGGGGAACAACTATTATCGTGCAGAGGCCGCAGGAAAGTGGCCGTTAAAGTGGTATGCTCCGGAGTGCATCTACTACTACAAGTTCACGACAAAAAGCGATGTGTGGTCATACGGGATCACCGTATGGGAGGCGCTTACTTATGGAGGCAAACCGTACGACGGCTTACATGGTCAAGAAGTGATTCAGTATTTGGAGAGCGAGGAGAGATTGTCATGTCCTGCGCAATGCCCAGAGAGTGTCTACAGCCTCATACGTGCATGTTGGGAGTGGCAGCCGGAAAGACGACCCGAGTTTTCACTGGTGAAGGAAACTTTATCCGATATTATTTTACACTTAATTTGATATTGAAACTATAACATAGTCTGGTTTACATGTGTGACTATAGGCACAAGCATATCAAGCGAAAGGCAAAACAAATAAAGTGAAGCATGCGTATAACATGCGGCGCCAAAACGAAACGCTGAACGAAACGCTTTGTCTTTGCAAGCGTCGGAGGTTTCTATTGTTTCCTGCTTATGCTTATCTAACTCGCGTGAACCAGGCTTCAGATGGAGACATAAATCAAAACACTCAACTGTTTCAATCTTATGGCATTAAAGCAATGTACTATTGCCGTGTTCCGTAAATAATTGAACGAATTATATAATTCTTAACGTCTTTTCGAAGCACGTAGACGAAAATATACAAGACGTTACCCTCCAATTCTTTTCTTCAAGACAATCAACACTAATATAACCTAATTCATATAAGCTTACACATATGAAGCTAATTTTTATTGCAAAACTGCAGTGGACGTCTTACAATTTTAATGCATGGAACTTTCCTTTTGCAAGCTTTTAAGTATAAGCAAAAAATTCTCGAATTAATACGAGTGTTTGCATGATAACACTAAAGTTTTGAGAAAATAAATATTTTAATTAGTTTTCCTACCATTCAAATTCAATTTTTTGTATATACCGTATAGTAATTTTTAATGTATGCTTAATATTAAAATTCCAAGCAATCTTTTCATTTAATTAGTTTGTTTTTTTGTTCGACTGATCAGCGCCCCTTTTATTATGTGTATACACTATTTCGGTCTCATTTTCTGCAATGTCTACCAACCCACCCTGATCTGCTTTCTCATCATTTTCTGTCTCTGCAGATTGAGTCTGTATTATCTCTTCTTAATATGGGTCCATAATATCTCATTCTTGCTGCCCTCATCTTCACTTGCTGCCCTCATCTTCCAACCCACATCATCTGATCTTTTCATTCCATATTTCCTCTGACTGGGTTCTTTTACTTCTTATTGTGTGTCCACACCATCTCAGCCTTGCTTCCCTCGCCTTCTCTGCAAAACCTACCACCCACGTCGTCTTCTCATCTCTTCATTCAGAATGCCTCCATCTCTTATTATTTATCCGTAACATCCCAGGCTTCCCTCACCTCTTCGGCAAAATCCACCACCCGGGCCGGCATCTTCTGATCAATGTATTCAGAATGCCTCGGTCCTGTTCTCATATGTTTTCATCTTTTATTATGTATCCGTAACATCCAGGCTTGCTTCCCTTACCTCTTCGACAAAATCTACCACCCGGGACCGCATCTTCTCATCTCTTCATTCAAAATGCCGCTGTCCTGTTCTCCTTCATCTCTTATTATGTATCCGTAACATTCCAGTCTTGCTTCCCTCACCTCTTCGGCAAAATCTACCACCTGGGCTGGCATCTTCTGATCACTTCATTGATATATGACCGGCTCTTCTCTGCAATTTCTACCGCCCCACATCTGATCTCTTCATCCATAATGCCAATGACCGGCTCTCCTTTATCTCTTATTATGTGTCCGTACCATTCCAATATCTACCAACCCACACCTATCATCGTTCCTCATCTTGTCTTACAGCGTAACCCTCAGGGATCCACATCAGGTCCACATTTGAACATTCGCATCTCCGTCTTCATCAAGTCTTCTTTTTTCAGCATTGATTAAGATGCCCAGATACTCGCTTCTTTCAAAATCCTCTCGAAGCTGCGTGATGTTGAACCAGTGTGCGGTAGAAGCAACGTCTTCGTTCCCCCACATTGCAACTCTCGAGTTGCCACTTGTTCTTTCGACGCAGTCGTCTTTGTTACGGTGGCATCTCTTACGTCGTCACACTTAGATTAGTTGCCAACTTAGATTAGTTCGGCCGGGATACCAACCCTCGGGGCTCAGGTTAATTCGGAGCAGTAAACAGTTCTAGTTTTAGATCCAGCGCGAGCCGTGGCAGGAGCAAAAATCGGAGTACTGTACCTTGCGAAAACCCACAAGGTTTGGTATGACTCTTTTCAACATGAAACTGAGGCGAAATTTTGACCAGAGAGCTGTATCTTGCAATAATTGAATAAGCGCCCTGAATTGAACCTTGTTGTCAAGGTGAACGCGCATATCAGCTGGTATATCAACTGTTAGAATTTGCAAAACGGTTTTTTCAAAACTTTATTCCAAAACGTTTTCCCCCAATAAATCACGGTCCCAGTAACCTATTATACACTTTAGGTTTGTGTGAGTAGACCCATGTATTGGCTCTGAGAAAGGGTTCCTGCGTTACAGCAAGTACGTGCAAAGGGGTTCTGTATGGCACACCGAAAGAGGTCAAAATATTCGACTTTGTGGGGTTATACTGTCTTTGAGCGTGGCTGGATCTCGTTGTGTGTTCTTGTGGATATCTGGCATGTTGTAGTCGGGTGCTTTCTATGCCTGGTTTGCTGTATGCTGCTGTGTAACACGAGTTTGGTGTCTTGGTTACCAACGAGGGCAGTAAACCGTCTCCAGAACACTTGTATTTCTTGTCCGGTATCATTTTCTTGCCAGACCCCTATATGTATTCAGAAAAGATTGAGAGAAAAGAGTGGACTTAATGTCAAGGAGAACTTTAATATATGTGGCAGGACGTTCAAACTATCTGCCTATGTTTCCTGCTAAGCCAATATCGTCCCCTCCATCATTTTACTCCCCCCGCATGAAACTAATTTACTATCTGTATAGCCTTTCCACCTTGATATAATAAAGTCTATCAATTTTTACTTTGCGAAGCCACCAAATATCGTCAAATAATTTATTCAAAACGCATTGAAGCAATCACTCGCTTTTCTCTGTAAATAAAGTCTTAAATCTGTGTGCTGCTTTTGACAATAAATGATCGGACAAGAACTTTGCCCAAGTTCGTCCAGACTGATCATCCGTCTCGGACCGTTCTCGAAATTCGAAAACCATTTGGTCTTTGCAGTTCACACAGGGCACATGAAATCGGACGATTTCGAGCGCATCAGACCATATGAATTCCTGTGTGAACAAATTGAACTCACAGTTCCTTATAAAGCCATTGCACGTCAATCGGTAACTAGTTACATATGCCGTTCATTCTGGAGTTTCGTTTATCTTTTTCACGTAGTGTTAATCCGTACGGCAACCAGCTCAGTTAATATTCGCAATGTCTCATCGCATGCAGACGTAGGGGTCCAATATGGGTACAATTCAACAATTAGCCGCCGTCTGGCAGTCTGAACTACCTGAAAAAGTTTTGACTGCCGATGTCAAGCGGGAGATATTTACAGTTGACTTCGCCGGGGTTTTTGCGGCGGCGGGATTTTACAAGCTATAGCCCATAGTTCACTTCGGCAGTAGTGTAAGAATCATGCAAGGCTTTCTCGTAACATCGAAATTAATCCTTTTAATAAACAGTAGTTCAGTGCAGTGTTAGCCAGTAACGAAGTAAATTTACTTCGTTACTTTACTTAAGTAAAAAAAATCAGTATTTACTTGTAACGAAGTATTTTTTTAATGAAGTACTTTTTACTTGTAACGAAGTACGATTTTTGGTAAATATTTACTTTTTTACTTCGTTACTTTTGTTATATTTTGGAGAAGTAAAAATTTTAAAAAAGTATTTCTTATTAAAACGGACTGGTGGGATTGGGTGGGATTGGGTGGGACTTGGTGGGATTGTGGGAATGTGCTTGGCTCAGGGCTGTTACTTCCGGCTTACTTCCGCCCAAATTTCACGAATTTATATTCTATTTCAGTAGTACTTTTACTTAAGTATATTTTTCCAGTACTTTTCTTTTACTTAAGTAAAATTTTCAGGCAATACTTTTACTTTTACTTAAGTAAAATTTTCAGTCAGTACTTTTACTTCTACTTAAGTAAAAATTGAGGTGTTACTTTTCACTTTTACTTAAGTAAAAATTTTGAGTACTTTGCTGAACACTGGTTCAGTGACACAAATCACGACTGCTTAAAACCATTCTTACACCTGAACTTTCATTTACGAACGTAATCTGAGCCTCTGAGGAAAACTCCGAAATTCGATCAACGGCAACCAACGGCTTCACGACGTTGCCGAGTCGTACAGTTGAGCCATCGAGCACATGGTCAGCGTCTTGCTGCATATATTAAAAGCTTTGAAACGTTCAGAAACATTGTCAGAAATCTACACTGGGCAAGCGCAGAAACCTTATCAAAGAAAAATCAAAATCGTAGCTTCTTTCTTGGTTAACATATCATTAAATACTTTAAATGAACTAAAATTAACCAAGATTACCGTCCTGAAAATAAATTGACGAGATTTATTACGATTATAGACACGAACTTTACGTTTCAAGTACCGGTAGTTTTTTACATATAAATGCATTGTGCAATCTTCATTTGCATAAAGAAACTTCATCCCACATGTCTGGAGTTGCGAGAGTGTAGGGTAGTTAAATGCGAAGCTGTTACAGTGTTAGACGTGCTTGCTTCGGCAGCACATATACTAAAATTGGAACGATACAGAGAAGATTAGCATGGCCCCTGCGCAAGGATGACACGCAAATTCGTGAAGCGTTCCAAATTTTTAAACATTTTGAACCATGGAAAAGTTCATTTGAACGTTTGGTGCAGAAAGAATGGCAAGACTAAGTCGTTTTCAGGTCCTACGCCTTGGTTTTATCAATTGACCCGATATCACGAGGTTTGAGACCGCGAGGATCGTAAAGTCTAAAGATGATACAACGTCTTCCTTATCAAGAATATCGAACTTATTTTTCAAGTAGTTGTATCCCTATCACTCAGCAGCTTTCTCATAGCGATAGAGAACCGTCTATAGCAGTAAATTGATAGAGAACCGTCCATAGCGGTAAATTGATAGAGAACCGTCCATAGCAGCAAATTGTCAGAGAATCGTCCATAGGCATAGCGGTAAATTGATAGAGAATCGTCCATAGGCATAGCAGCAAATTGACAGAGAATCGTCCATAGCAGTAAATTGACAGAGAATCGTCCATAGCGGTAAATTGATAGAGAATCGTCCATAGGCATAGCAGTAAATTGACAGAGAACCGTCCATAACAGTAAATTGACAGAGAACCGTCCATGGCAGTAAATTCTCTTCACTAACACACCTCAACTGTTAAAATTCAAATCTTCTGTCTTGAAACAGGTTTCTGCGTATATCACAAATGTATACGGATAGACAACTCAGAGTCAATGTCAGAGTCATGTTACAATCCAGGAAAAGAGGAATTAAACGCTGATATTAATCAGGAATATATAGTGGTGGAGACCAAAAAGCCACTATGGATATGTTCCATGGTGGAAAATTTTCTTCAATAACATCGTAAGTGTTTATACAGTTCACATCCTGTCAAAACTGAGCACGCCTTACACACAGAAGGAACAGTTAAATAGTTTTTGAGAATCTATATAGGTAAATGAGTTGAGAGGCATTGGTATTCATAAGCGAAGGGATAGTGAAGCATTGTGGATATGTTCCATGGCAGCAAATTTTCTTGACGAGTATCTCAAAGTTCACTGCACCTTGTCAAAACTGATCATGCCTTACACACAGAAGGATCAGTTAAAAGAATATTTGTGAATCTATATGGGAAGATGAACGAGATACATTAACATTCATATAAGCGAAGGGATAGTGATTAGAACGGTAGTGAGCTACCATACTAACTTCCCGAAGAAGGGCCTTCGCTCAAAACGTTGAAGTTCGCCATTTTTCAGGTAGTTGTACCCCTATCAATCTGTAGCTTTCTGATACACTAAAGCTCTACGCACATAGCAATTTCAGTAAACTCTTGTTTACACTAAACTCCCTCTGTTCCTCAAATGGTAAAGGTCACATCTTGCCAAAACAGATAACACTTTAATACAAGTTTCAGATCTTAGGGTCTGCAAAATAGCAAAACTGATAATTACAGTAATCCATAGCCCTATGAAGAGTGAGAGATTAAAGGCATGGAGACATGAGCCATGGCTGTAAACTCTCCAAAGATGTTGAAATAATTGCTCAACATCAGTCAGATCTATAAATTCCGGAACACCGGGAGCAAAGTAAAGAAAGAAATGGATTTCCAAGAAATAACACAACTAGAAATTAAATATAGAGTATGAACTAAACAAATAAGTTTTCAGACTAATCTCCAGAATAAAGATCAAACAACCATGAAGCAGAAACCAAAAGAAAACAGTGATTTCCATTTGCATTGATCTCTCGAAGAAAAGTAACCATGTTAGAAATTATCATTTCTCAGACCTTGAATTTTGCACGAAGCAGGAGAATGGCAAACTGCCCTCTGTGCTCCACTAAGAAGAGCAATAATAGAGAGTAATAGATAGACCAATTCCTGAAAACTAGTGTCAGAGTATGTAAGAAACATCTCCTTTGGGAAATAAATTCCAGAAAAGTATATACCGGTATCTGTTCCTCCACATCAATCACAACCCTGATCAACTATAAAAAACTTGCTCTCTCTACGAGAGCAACTGCACCTTTAAGGCATCAAGGCATGATCTCTAAATCCACATGTTTATGCAATGAAAATCTGCACAAAAAAGCAGTGTTTCAAGATCACTTTCTAATGGGGTGAGGTGGTTAACCATACCTGAAAAAACCCCTGTTTTTTTAATACTGAATCAACCGAAAAAAATTCCCATTTTTTCCAGACGGTTTTAACTTTTTGCTTTTTACCCTGAACCACCTCGCCCAAGGGGATGTGGGCAAGGGGTGGAGATTGAATATCAATCAAATGTATGGGGACAATACAAAGCAACGTTTACACACTAATAATAATCAGGCTGATTTCAGGTTTTTCTGAATTATGCCAACGACAAATGTTATCAGTTGAAATGTTGTCAGTTGACAGTGTATTTTTCAAATATCATTTAAAGCTGAAATTATTAGCCTGATTAATCCTTGTGTGGAAATGTACCTTAAGTTTATATATACCCTTCCAACAATCTGAGAAAAAAACAAGAGCTCTGGAACAACCATGACCTTCAGTTAAATGCCCCCATCCGGGATTACATTGATGACCAAACTGTCGTTGCCCGCACCCCCTCCCCCTAGATTTATTTATGTAAAACAACAAATTCCAACTCTATTCACTGGAATAGTAATAATATAGGTTTTGGAAACCAAATACGTTATACTCCATTTGTTTATGCAAACTAAACTTGTTTAATTGCTTATTGCTTGGTTATAAACTTTTTAAATCGACTTAAAATATGGAAATTTTATTCGTTATATTATAAACATGTGTCGCCATTTGTATTTGCATAACACGAGGGCATGACCTTTGGACAATAAAACGCGCATTAATAGAGCTCCGGGAAGCTTTTTTAATACAGAAAAATAACAACCATACCTTATTTTACACATTTTACTTGAGAAAGCCTCACTGTTCCTGTTAAATGTGCAATTTTGAACGCTTCAATTTGTTCACCTCGTGCGTATAAAATCGTGTATAGCTAGTATCAAATTTACAAATTACAGCAAACCTCTACCTTAAGTGACGTCATACCGTTAATTTTCACACTGACTTCTATATATCAACAGGACGCTGGAATGTAAAACTTTTCTGTTTGGCTTTTGCTTTGACTGCAGTTGACTCGATAAGACAAACGCGTCAGTTTACTAGCAACGCACTGACCTGCTGAGCTAGTTTTACGTTGAAACTTTGGTTAAAACTCCGTAAATGATATTTGAAGGCATTGTCCAATTGGATCGCAAACTATGTTAATTAAATTTTTACAGTGAAACTGTCACAGCAGTGCGCACGTGCAATGGCTTTATAACAAACACAGCCAACGGAAGGTCATTAATTGTAGAAAACTACCTAGCAATAAAACGTCAACTACAAAGGAAAAACAATACGTACATTTTCAAAATATATTCCATGACCGTGAAGTGCATCGCGATTGTCGTGTCTTGAAAAAGGAAACCCACTTCGGAATATCTGGAATATTGAATTGCCAAGAAACTTGAATATTGATGAATAACTTTGAATATTGGTGAATACTTGGTCTTGAATCCAAGTGCAACTCAAATCCCACTACCTCTCACTAGCTTAGTACCCATCTCTTCGCAGGGGCGACATTAGGGGAAAATGGCGGAAACATTAGGGAAAAATGGAACGAACAACGGTAGTTTATTAACACAAAATAAAATTTTTTGTGTGTGTTTTGATGTTATGTACTCAGGTGAATATAATGTTTTTGATGTTACTCCGATTGTATACACTCAGAGTGTATACATCAGAAACACAAAATAAGATGTGGGAAAAGAAACATTAATTAGTGGTTGAAGTGACTCGGTAAAATTTCCTTTACTGTAATAACTCGGCAAAATTCACTTACACCACCCTCCCCCATTCAAAGACGTCTAGCGCCGCCCCTGCCTGTCTGGTTAATCGAATATATCAAACTCGGATATATGATTGGTTAAAGGTTGTTAATGATCCTTTAAATTAATGATAGCGTGGTGGAAGTTAAATCTGGACGTTAAAGAACGAGCGTAGGAATGATCCGCCTTACTCTTCTGGTATGAGTTCTGTACGGTCAGTGCGTAATAAAATGGATAGACCAGAACGTCCCATTACACTCTGCGCGTTCACTTATATTTTGCCAATAACACACCTATCTTCCATTTATGCAACAGGTTTTTTCCTGTAATGAACAAACTTCATACCTCACTAGCTGTGGACGGTAATCCTTTTGGCTCTGGAACAATGTGTAAATTTTTCAATACTGGTTTGTCTCGTTCTTCTTTCCATGGTCTGGCACAAAACTAAAAATAATGACTTCTTTGCAGCACGATCAGGCCATTTACAGGCCTTGTTTGGTGATCGAGCGCCTTAACGCGCACCTCAAATATGCCTGCACGCGCCTTTTGTCAAACACTTTTTTTCATAAAGAAACTATTTTAAGGACAGTCATAGAGCATGCAATCAAAATGTGCAGTATCTACGGAATTGTTAATGATGCACTGATGCTTAATAGTGGGAATTGCAGAGGTAATTAACACATATATACAAAATTCTGACGGAATATATATATATACAAAATTCAGAGGTTTTCTCCGTGTGTTTTCTTACGTAGAAAAAAAAAACAACTGGAAAACAGCCTTATATACCTGAAGTATATACAAACAACAAAATGTACAAAATTATCATGTGATTTCCCCCCACAAATTTAAATCAACATTTATATGTTCGTTTGATCCGACTTTAACAAATGCAAACACAAGTTCGTTATGTTAAATTATGAGCAACCACTGCAGAAATCAATCAATGTCACAAACTCCCAAAGGCAAATTTCCAAAAACCTACCCAATGTTTGTCAGTTTTTGTCGAGGGAGCGAATTTCCTTCCTTTGGCCATTTCACTGCAAAAATCGATAACTTGACTTCTATTTTATGTTAAGTAAATTTGCACGCTTCATTGGCACTGTTGTCGTTTTATCATTTTTGTGTACAGTTGCTATGGCTACTTATTGTTAGACAACAGCATGCGCAAATTGCATTAATTATTTAATGACAAGAGTTAAAATCTCACATCTTTTCATGTGATCGAGCTACAATCGTCCACAAACAAAATATATCGAGACTTTTGGAACCACTTCCCCCTGTTTCAATGTTGAAATGCTATTATCTTCCCGACAGAAATATTACGTGACCCAACAACCGCAAGTGTCCTATGCCAATTCAAAATCTAATGCATGACATTTGAATAAAACAATTTTGGCACAAACATAACATTGAAATGAGGGGAGGGGGTTTGCCGTCTCAAATATTTTGTGGATCGTAGAAACAAGCTAGAAAGCAGCAGAAAATAGTCGATTCGGGACTTAAGGGGACTTAAGTGAAGACTTGAGGCGACGGCAGGAACATCCCTCATCTCTCATCTGCCTGACGTTGCCATAAGCCCTGGGACAAACCGAGGCAGGAGTGATTTGATTGGTCGTTGGAAATAGAGTGAAGTATGAAAAGTTCATTCATCAAGTGGATGCTTATGGCAACGTCAGGCAGCCGAGAAGCCCTGGGAACGAGGATGGGGCACGAATCAAGACATTTTGGTATATGGCATAGTTATGCTAGTCTGCAGTGAACCCAGACGTCATCTCAACGCTCATTCTTCGCTTGGAATGAGCGTGGGAATGACGTCTGGGTTTGCAGACTGTAGGTTCTTTTACAATCATCGCAAAAAAACCACTTGCAAGCTCGCTAGGAGTACTTGCATTCAATCACAATGCTCGACAGTTCACTTTAATTAGATGCACGTTTGGCTTCGTTTGAACGCTTTCTGAAACACACTTGTTCGCAGGTTAATCGATTTCATGACGTCAGGAGGGTACCTCGCGTCGCCCCACCAAATCGCCTGAGTCGCAGTCTTCGCATGTGAAAAAGCGCTGAAATAAAAAAGGCCCCAGGTCCAGGCTGACTTCGAGCTAATCGATTTCGGCAAATGCATGTCAAGAAGACCTGCAAATACCTGTAATATACAGAGCCTCCAATTGAACTATAAATTGCAAAATGCTAATTTCTAACAACATATTAATGAATAAAAAATTTCATACAAATTTCGCACAAATATAATTATTTAAATTGAAGCTAAGTAAGGCTGTATGGATAGGCTTTAAGGCCTGTTTAAACGGATCCAACATTGTTGGACCAACATCATCCAACAATGTTACTATAATAGATAGGACTACTTCTCTTTCAAATCTTTTTGGTTAGATAAGCTTTACTCAAACTCTAAACCTAGTCTTGACAAAAATATTTGAAAAAGAAGCCGTTTGGGCCATTATTTCAACAATGTTGGATGATGTTGGCCCAACAATGTTGGATCCGTTTAAACAGGGCTTTATACTATATGCAATATTTCTGCGAGTGCAATCATTTCTGCCACTGGAGAGTGGCAGCAATTTTACAGTGGAAAAACTACATCACAACATTGTCATCATAATCATGTCAAGCGATTGACAATCTTGTGTAAAGATTGGTTTTATTGTTTTAAACAAGCTGACGCGTCAAGCGAAAAGTCCATTTGCGTCACACACACTGGAGCTTAAAACTCACCAATGTAAACGTTCTCAACCTGTCCGACGCTTGCTGAAAAATTCTCATCAATTTGGATTGAGCGTCACACATAGTCAAGGTTAACAGTGATGTCAATACAAGTATGATAAACCTTCAGTGTCACACTGTCTCATGCTTGCAAAAAAAACCCATTTGCGTCGATCCAGTACACAAATAAATATAATCATAGAGTTGACAAGAGATTTTGCTCGTTCGACCGGTAATGTCCAGTAGACTCCAGGTATAGACTCTATTAAGTGGCATGTGAGTCGAGAAAGCTCACGAATTGTCAAGTAGCAGCTAAACAATTTAAAAACCAAAATTTTCTACGCTTTAAATGTATACCAATTAATACAGGGAAATTTGGGCAAGGATATTAATAACGCCTGGCAATTTTACACATCAAAGAGAATACATTTTTAAAGGTAACGACAAGATTTCACAAAGTCTTCGTCCAATTTATATTTTTCAATCAAGACCTACGCTTTAATTAAGATGATTATTGCATGGCGCGAAATAGGCCTTGGCAAATAGAATAAATTGCCTTGCGAAAACGGATGGCTTGAGTTGTTTCAACTTATTATTACAATTAGACTACATTATAATTCTGCTTTTGGCATCAGCCAAGAGCTAAATGACGGTGTGTTTTTGAATTTTAGAGCTTTTTAACTCCGGTAATGAAATAAGCAAAAAACAAACTTGCACCTGTTAAGTCGTGTCTGACTATCTAATTATAATTGCATGCTAATGTAAAACCAATTCGGCCTTTACTCCTTAGCGACATTGTCAACTTAGTTCAATTTAACCTCAAGCGTCACCGGCAAAGTTTCATTAGTGCCATTAAACCATTACTGCTTAGTGCTGTGTTTCCATGGGCAGCGTTTTGCAGAATATTCATGCAGCAAAGATGCCGAAGGAAACGCTTTTAAGGTAAGAAAAGTAACAATATGTTGAATTCTATAACAGCATGTGTTAGATCATTATTCCATTAATCTGCATTTAACCATTTTAAGAATTAAGTAAAATGTACCAAAATCATTACAGTCTTATACTTAGGGACTAAGTCTAAGACTTATATATGAATAACTTCTAAGCCTCTCTATATCCAAAAGAAAGGATAAAAATGATCAAGTATCGTATTATTTGCCTTGTAAACGGTTATTAAAAAATAAATCTTTGTTTCTAACCAGCTGGCTGTTAATATAACATTTTATCTAAATGCACTCGTAGATTTGCGCGTTCTTCGTTTTTTTTTTTCAGTAACGTTATATCTCAAAGTTTCACAATAAGTTATTTTTGTTTTTATACAATAATGAATAATACTGAAAATACAAGCATCCATAGGATTATTAGGGATACCAGGACGCAACATTTCGTCGATTAAAATGTCCAATATATTACAATACTATATGCATGCCAAATTTCAAATCAGCAACTATCACAACAAACGCTCCATGAGCAGCCAAAACCAGTCTCATACGGTCGTATAATCCAAATTACGTTTGACAAGGCCTATTTCACAATTCAAATCGAAATTTAGCTGAGTTTAATTAACATCCTTCATTTCAAAAGACGAATATAATCCAAACGAATTGTATTTAACATCTGCATGACATAGCAATGTTACATGCTTTGTCGTTGATGAGAGTTCAGCCAGAGTGCGAATTAGAATTTTTCTGATCTACAGTTATTTTCAAAATGCAGGTGTAAACGGGCCTTTGAAATATCTTGAACTGCATGTCTGTGTCAGTGTAGGTAGAGGCAATAATATGAACAAGCTTTCGTTGGTTGGGATGCAACTACCTGAAAATATAAGGAGAATTTCGACGTTTCGAGCGAAGGCCCTTCCTCTTGAGTTAGAGACCTTTTAAAGGGCCTTGCCTCGAAACGTCAAAATTCTTCTTATACCTTTAAAATATCTAATATACTTTTCATATTCTTTAGGATCGCTTTGGTTTTGTTCACATACTTTATTTTCTACCCTCACTACCACCTCACTGAAAGTTTTTCAGGATTTAAATTAACCAGTTATCGTAATAAAGTGCTCGCAGAGGACAGCCATTGTTTTCAAAACATCACAGAAGTCAAGATCTCAAATTGTTTTCAACATTGCCTTAGCAACTGTTTCTGCACATCATTTCAAATGTGTGGAAGTACCTGTCAACTGTGTTCTGGTGGAGGGCTAGGGATAATACGTGATCAAGAAGGATGTTCGCACTTTAACTTCACAGCTGATGAGGAGAAGGTAAGATCACTAACCGCGCCTCTTGCAGTTTCGTTCTTACGACACAAAGGTGGAAGGGTCACTTAGGGGCTAACCCCAACCCACCCTGACAATTACATTCCCTGTGGAAGGAAACCGGAGTACCATGAAAAAACCCACGACTTTCGGTAGAGAATTGTCTTGGTCACGTGGGTGTCTCGGGTCCAGAACGAGGATCGAACCCATGATCTCTGAGGAGAAAGCCGCTTGCTCTGATGATTGCGCACCGTGGGCGCAAAGGTAAAAAAAAGAGGAAAAGGGAAAATAATAAAGGAAAAACTAATGGAAGGCAAGAAAATATAAGGAATGACGGAAAGATGTGTATAGAAGGAATGGAATGAGATCGAACAATGAAAGGATGGCAGACAGAATGCTGAATAGAAAGTTAGGTAAAAGCATGGCTTAGCTTATTAATATTCTTTTATTCCTGCGAGTAAATCTAAAATGTTCCTGCGAAAATGCATCTTATTTTAAATTCTATGACCTCAATAGTGTTAAAGCACGCACGTGCATTTTAATGATGCATGGGTAAAAAATAGACGGGCAGAAGAAAGAAAGAGTAAAGCTAGAGTGGAAAGGAAAAAGGTATGGAAAGGGAGAAGATAATAATAAATTTAAATTTAAGAAAGAAAAAACAAATATAAAGAAGGGAACAACGCCATCATCAATGTAAAATTCTTTATTTCAGACTCTGACTGCTGACCAACAATGTCAGAGAGGCTGCGCGGGGGGCATCAACTGCTGTATGACGTCACAACCTTGTTCCAATGGGGGTACCTGTGTCCCTCAACACTCAACTGTTACCACGAGTCGTTTCACTTGCCAAGATTGTGCTGAAGGCTATACAGGGCATCTATGCCAAATACCTATAAAATCCTGCCGTGGATACAAGAATGGCAGTCAAATTGCAAAAATATATAAAATATTTGACGACAAAATGAATCTATTCTCAGTATTTTGCGATTTTGACAAAGATCGAGCTTGGACGTTAATACAAAGCTATAAATTTGCAAATCACGACTATTTCAAGGCTTCTTTCGTCAGCAATAAACCAAACCGCACGAACTCGCCCAACGCCCAAAGTTACCGAATGACGAAAGCCAGAATGAAAGTGGTTGCTCAAGACTCCAGCAAGTGGCGTATCACGTGCAACTATGAACCAGGAGAGAAAATTTCGTACACAGATTATGTGGAAACAACACTTGAAAAATTGGACATTTTATCTTTTAACGGCAATAAGTAAGATATGGCTTCTTGCTAAGCCTAGTTCCTTGACCTTGCACGCGCGGGCGAGTTACAGGCTGTCATGAATTTACGATCCTGGTCAACCTGCAAACCTTGTCAAATGCCACCCTAAAATAGTAAGGCGGAAGCGAAAGGCCATGCATAAATGGCTCCTTGCATAAATCCTCTAAAAAAAGATTTCATCCTTACCATGAGTTCATAATTAAATTAATAAATTCATAATTAAATCCTTAATATTTGCAGGTGTGTTGAAGTTGATTACATCAGCATCCGTGGCAAGAATTGCACCAACTGTACAGCGTACATGCTACAGTCGCATAACAAAGACGTGAATGCTTACTACATGGGACTTCATTTTGACTCGAGACAGGGACCCTCGTTCTCATGTGATCACAATGCTAGCGAAGGCAGTCACAGTTGCGGCAAGCCAGGGGAAGACGATTTTGGATTTTATGATTGTTACAATACGAATCATCGTTGCTCAGCAACCAGCGAATCGCTGACGTCAGCGTGGTTGGGTGGATAGCAATATAAAATATTAAACTCATTCAGTAAAAAGGTGTTCTCACTGATTAAAGGATTTATTTAATATAAGAACATCGACTTCTTTACTGCGCTGTATATATGCAATAAGCATTGCTTTATATTTATACTACATACTAACATTAATGAGGAAAAGCTTTCCTCCAAGTCCGCACTCGGGTCAAGACTACCGAGAGCCACCAGAAAAAGTACATTTCTGAACATTTACAATGACTTTTGTGAGATGCCAACAAAATCTTGATATTTACCCGTGATGAAAAACAACCTTTATCGTCAATTACTACGGGCCCAAGGATTTGATCAGGCGGCCTGATCAAATTCAGGCGTAATGCTCTTTTCTTCCCTGAGAAACATTTTGTCGTCATTTTAAGTACAAAATTCAGAGTACATATTTTTGGTACATTATATTTTTGATGATAAGTTTTTATCGGCTACCACGACGTACCTTCCAGGCATGTTTAGTTTTCGCCATCCTTGGCTGGCTTATTCCTGGCACCGAAAATTGAGCTACCAATACGAACGTGAGTGCTACCCATTTCAATCTGAACGAGAGAAGAAATAAAGAAAAAAAAATATTTTAGCAAGTTAAGTAATTTATGGAAGATTATAATATACATGTATAGTATAAAAAAATATTTGTCCATTACGTTGTGATGACCTTCCGCCATCTTGAATATATTTTCGATACGCATGCGCCGTTAAGCACCATTCAAACAAGTAACACGAACCAACATTACCCAACATGCATAGTGCTCAAACGTGGCTAATATTACAGATTAATCCTCTTAATCTGTGCCAATATGTTGATCCAGTATCATGCAACGTTGCTCAATGCATGTTGGCCTCATTTGAACGCTTTCTCAAACACAATAGACCTTTCCCCTTTTAAGTGAAATTTTGATCTAGACTAGCCTGGACAAAAATTTCATCACAGCTTGAAAGAGCATCACACAATTAGTAATATTCCGAAGTTTCGTTGCGAAATGTTGTAAAATGTGGATAATATAGCCTTGCGAAGTTTAACGTTTTTCAGTCATTTTGTATTACAAATGGGAAATTGATAATCAGTTTGATCATCTGATTATCAATTTCCGTTTGTAATGCAAAATGACTGAAAAACGGCAAACTTCGCAAGGCTATATTATCCGCATTTTACAACATTTCACAACGAAACTTTGGAATATTACTAATTTTGTGATGCTCCTTCAAGCAGCTGTGGTAAAATTTTTGTCCAGGCTATTCTAGATCAAAATTTCACTTAAAAGTGGAAATGTCTATTGATTCGCACATTAATCGATCCGTGACGTCACGAGGCGCACTCCCTTAGCCCCGCCCCCAAATCGCCTGAGTCCCAGTCTTTCATGTGAAAAAGCGCTGAAATAAAAAGGCTTTAGGTTCAGGCTGACTTTGAGCGAATCGATTTCAGCAAATGCATGTCAACAAGACCTGCAAATCGAACTATAAGACTATGTGCACACGGTAACGTTTTTGAGCGTTTTGTTTTCATTTGTGTTTTCACGCTATAACGGATGCAAACACTATCAATTTACGACAGAAGCTGTAGTTTATTTAATATATTGGAGATATTTTCCTTTGGATCGTGTGAACAAGACGTCAAAACGATTCAATAAACAAAAACGTTTTTGAAAACGCTGGAAAACGACGCCCGTGTGCACATATAGCCTAAATTGCAAAATGCTAATTTCCAACAACATATTAATGAATAACAAATTTCATACAAATTTCGTACAAATATGATTTGGCAAATTGAAGTCAAGCAAGGCTGTATGAATAGGATTTATACTATGCAGTATTTCTGTGAGTTCAATAATTTATGCCACACACACACACCGTAATATATAGAAAAGTTAAATTTTTTCCATGATTTTCAAGAGCAGGGCAAAAATCATTTCCACCTGTCCCTGCAATTTTACTTCTTACAAAACAGTGGGAAAACTACATGACAACACATGACAACACATGACAACATTGTCATTAGAAACACGAGTGTGGTTGCTTTGAACAAGCCGACTTGTCAAGTGAAAAGTCCATTTGCGCCAAATATACTGGAGCTTAAAACTCATCAATGTAAACGTTCTCAATTTGCCCGACGCTTGCTGAAAAATTCTCATCAATTTGGATTGATCGTCACACATAGTCAAGATTAACAGTGATATCAATACAAGTATGATGATAAACCTTGTCACTCTGCCTCATGCTTGCCAAAAAAACCTCATTTGGGTCGAAACTTTCAAATGTAGAATGTAAAACTAGTCTGATGAATTATTTTCTTGACGTCTCGAGCAAAGGCTCTTCATCATAAGGTCGGACAGCGATTGATTTACTGAAGTGCAGAGGGAAGGAGTGCGTATTCCTCCTAGCCTTGGAAGGCCACCCCGCGTTTGGCCCCCAACTCTCATTAACTGCCATGCACTATCATCAGTTAACTCTCAACAACTCTTTGATTGGGGCATGTGAGTCGAGAAAGTTCTCATCAAACTCTGGCTTCTCAACTCGTACCATGCAGCTGTTATTCATGAACTCTCGTCCTCCTCATTGTTGACAAGGCTCAACTCTTCTCATCAAGTGGCTTCACGCGAAACGTCGAGAAGAGTGGCGTTTTTGTCGTTTACATTAGGGAGTTTAAGCTTCATGTTTCCGGGAACGGCCAACAGTAGGTTCGAAATTTCTTGGCAAAATATTCGTTGAACGTTTTCGTTTCATATTTTCTTTCTTGCGTCGAAAGAATAATTATGTTTTTCGGTTATAAAACAGCAAGTTTATTTACTCTTTTTTGCCTTATAACGTAAAATTTTTCTTTGCCTGGCGTTTGCCCTTTGACGTATAACGCGCAGCTCTCTATTAACAGGCCAACGTGTCACGAATGCATATTATCAAGAATTGTCACGTAGCATGCTTTATCCAAATGCTTAAGTATATAAACGGAAATTTAGCCAAATGAAATAAACAATTTTAGCGGCAAATGAAATAAACAAAAAAACTTGCACCTGTTAAGTCGCGTCTGACTATCTAATAAAATGCTAATGTAAAACCAATTCGCCCCTTACTCCTTAGCGACATTGTCAACTTAATTCAATTTAAACTTAAGCGTCACCGGCAAAGTTTCATTAGTACCATTGCTGCTCAGTGCTGTGTTTTCATCGGCAGCGTTTTGCAGAATATTCCAGCAAAGATGAAGGAAACGCTTTTAAGGTAAGAAAACAATATGCCGAATTCTATAACAGGATATGTAACATTAATCTGCATTTAAGAATTAAGTAAATTGTCACCAAGTCTCTAACTTCTAAAACTTATATATGAATAATTTCTAATCCTGCATCACGCCTCTCTATCCAAAAGAAAGGACAAATCAAGTATCGTTTAACATTCTTTTCAAAAATTGTAGGCGTTACTAGTTTTTAGCTACAATATTCCTCTATATTCCTTTGTATTATACGCTGTAGTTTCCTAGGCCTAGCCCGCAACCGCTCTTTGTGTCGTTCTATACGCTGCTGACAATTTATATCGATGTTTAACAGACTGAAAAGTGGAGCTACAAATTGTCCCGTGAACTTATCGGCTGCATACTAATAGTTTGGCCTACAAAACTGCTTTTTCGTATGACAACTTCTCGTTTGTAGGCCGTTAATTCGAGGCTAGACTTGCCACAAGTCGACCTCGAATGAAGACCGATTATACATGCAATTTTTGCTACCATTTCAGATGCGATTCTTCTGATGGATGTGAACGAGTGGATGAGTTATGAATGCTCAGATGAGGGTATACATACAGTAATATACTCAGAACATTCATAACTTATTTACTCGTTCACATCCATCAGAAGAAGAACATTACACTAGAAATCGCAGCATAAATGGCAAGTGTAAACGGGCCTTTAAAACATCTAATGAATTATTTCGAATTCTTTAGGATCGCTTTGGTTTTGTGCACATACTTTATTTTCTACCCTCACTACCTCACTGAAAGTTTTTCAGGATTTAAATTAACCAGTTATCGTAATAAAGTGCTCGCAGAGGACAGCCATTGTTTTCAAAACATCACAGAAGTCGAGATCTCAAATTGTTTTCAACATTGTCTTAGCAACTGTTCGTGTACATCATTTCAAATGTGTGGAAGTACCTGCCAGATGTGTGCTGGAGGAGGGCTAGGGATAATACGTGATCAAGAAGGATGTTCGCACTTTAACTTCACGGCTGACGAGGAAAAGGTAAGATCACTAACCGCACCTCGTGTAGTTTCGTTCTCACCACACAGAGCACAGTTACGGTGGAAGGGTCAGTTAGGGGCTAACCCCAACCCACCCTGACAACATTCCCTGTAGAGGAAACCGGAGTACCATGAAAAAACCTCACGACTTTCGGTAAAGCGTTGACCGACTCTTCTCACATGAATGTTTCGAGTCCGGAACGAGAATTGAGCCCACGATCTCCGAGGAAAAAGGCACTTGCTATGACGGTTGCACCTCCACCCAAGCCCCAAGGGTAAAAAGTGTGAAGATGTAATGCTGAATAAAAGTAGGAAAATGGAGGATAAAAGAGCGGATGAAAGAAAAAAGGAAATAGGAAAAACTAATGGAATGAAAGAAAATATAAGGAATGATGGAAATTATATAGAAGGAATATGTTATATAGATAGGATATATATTATATAGAAGCAATAGAATCAGAACAAAAGGAAGGATGGCAGACAGAATGCTGAACAGAACACATATTATTATTTTGTGAGTAAATCCAAAACGTGCTTGCGAAAATGCATCTTATATTGAATTCTATGACCTCAATAGTAAAGCACGCTCGTGCATTTTAATGACGCATAAAAAATAGAAAGGCAGGCAGAAACGCAAAGAAAGAAAGAAACTCAAGAAAGCAAAAAGTAAAACTAGAGTGGAAAGGAAAAAGGTACGGAAAGAAGGAAGGCAATAATAAATTCAAGTGGGAAAAAACAAATATAAGGAAGGGAACA